GGGGCTTGATCCAACTCCTTCATTTTCAAAAACATTTTAGAAAATCTTGAAAATAGGGAGAAGTTTTAGATACAAATACCGGTGTAGGTTACGATTTAAATCAAAGAATTAAAGTATTTGAAATGACAAGCATAGAGTTTTAAAAGCATCCAAATCAGATTTATCCGTGTATTCGGTGTTTGAAAATTGAAAAATAGAAATAAAGAAGTAGAAATTAAGACATTAGAAATTACAAAATTAAAAATTTAGAAATTAAAAGAAAATTTTGGAGAATGAGATATTTTTGAAAAATGACTTAGTCAACAGATTAAACCCATGCGACTATGGATCTCACAAGGCAGTTTAATGTCACAATGATGGATGTAGGCACTCAATTTAACATCATACTGAGGACATCAACGTACAATTTATTGTGATGTCGAGGACATTTTGCATCAGATTTTGAAAGACAAAAAGATGAAATTTAAATTGTTTGAGAAAATGGGCCGCAATTTAGGCTCTTCCCATCGTGGGGCTTGTTTTAAGAATTTTGAAATTTTTTTTCAAGAAAACATTTTGAAGCCCTCTTGATAAAATTTTGAAATAAAAATATTGTCAGAAAGATACTTTTGCATAGCAGTTTAGGTTCATGGGACCATGGAACATTTTGATAAATTTTAAAATTTGAGAATTTTAAGAAATTTGTGAGAAAGAACCTTTTGAAAGATTTTTGATTTTTTGTATGACAGGTCTTACAATTTAGCCACTTATGAACCTGTTGGTGGGTTTTATTATTATTTTTATTATTGCTACTTTTTTTTTTAAACTTTTAAGTACATTTTGCTACACAAAATTTGATTCGTAGAAGCTAATTTGGGAAACAATTTTTTCCTTTGTATTTTGCTTTAAGGCTACGAATTTTGAGTTAATTAATTTTGACATAGGCTTAGCTTGGTTGAGACTTTCGGGGTTAGGAATACTTAGGTAGTCTTTTGCCCTTAGATCCTGATACTCATGCTGCAATCCAAAGAAATAGTTCTTGAGGTTTTTGAACGAACTATGTCTTGGAAAATGTGTGACACTGGCCCTAATGCCCTTTGATGGACTTGGAGGACGAGTACTGAACCGATGTTGACTTGAAGATTTTGGACATCTTGATTGACTTTGACTTAGAGGGCTTGGACGGCATCTGAAATTGAGGGACTTGGATTTGGTGCCAATTTGAAAATTTCTTGGTCGTCCTTTCTTTTTCTTTTTTTAACTGCCCCTAGTTATCCTTTTGGTTTAATATCCTGTTTATTTTTTTTTCTTTTTAACGACCACCTCCTTTAATTGGCTTGCTGCTTGAGATGATACTTTTTGAATTTTGGTGGCTTTTTTTGTGACCCTGGCTGATTTATTCTTTGTGGGCTGGGCCATCTTCGTGGTTTGCCCCTTCTTGGAGGTTGGTGTTGTGGCACGTCGCCCTAAGATCAAGTAAAGTCTCCCTCATATTCCTTCAGGAATTGTGACCATCTTCCCATTCTCCAGGCGGTAGGGAGGCCCTAGTTTCAGTTATCCTTTGGTCATCTTTGCACTTTGGTTGGTATCCGATATTTTCTAGACGATGGTTGAAGAATTCCTATCAGACACACTTTAGAATACTTCACTCAAGCCTTGGGCTCCTGGTCCTTTGGTCCCTTACGAAGGTTGCAAAGCTTATGAAGATTTTGCCTTTTAAAAGGGTTTCATTAACCTGCTCTAATGTGTTTATCTTTTTCAAAGGTGTTGTAAATAAGCTTGGGGTATTAACAAAGATTTGAAATCTTTATAAAATTTAAATTGCCACAATTTAAGGGTGTTAAAACGACTAGGTTCGTTGGGTACTTTTAGAAGGAACCCATGCCCTGACCCACTGGTGGCCTATGACCTCGTGGTGTCTGTTGGTACTTTGGACCAATGATCTCAGAGACAAGGGATGGGAAGAAGGTATTTGGTCCTTGTGTACTTGTGCATTTTTAAAGACTGATTTTAGAAAATGTGTGGATGTGTTCTCATTGTGGGTCTTTAATGCTGTGGGAACATTGACCCCAGGTGGGCATGGAGGTGTCACTTGGCTACTAAAAGGGATGAGCAATCATCCTACTCCCTTTCGATGGTCCTTTTGCTAAGAACCTTGGTTTGTTGTCCTTCTTTGGGAATTAATCCTTCGTTGGGCTCATTCTTGGTGCTTGTGTTGGGGCGGTACTCTTGGACAAGGAGGGCTTAGGTTTAATCACCTTAAGGTGTGCTGGGTCTTTCAGCAGAGGCTATGACCTCACCTACTGTCCCAATTGCTTCATTATTTTCCTCAGACGGGACCACCCCTATCAATTGATTAGATGGGGTTGCCCCTGCTGTGTTTCCACTATTGGTGGGAGTAATGTCTTGTTTAGAAAATTTTATTGGTCTCGGGGTGCCCCTATCAATGGGTTAGATGGGGTCACCCTTATCGTTTCTTCGACTGTGGGGACTGGTCTCTCATCAATACAGTTTCTTGGTTGCGGGGTGTCTCCATTGGCAGAGGCATGCTGTACCCTTGCTATGTTCTAAGGGATCATCTTTCTTCATTCCTTCATCCCGGTTGTATTATGTCAAACCATATAGGTAGCTCGAGAGGTTCCTCTACGTGCGGTTCTTCATCCCGCTTGTTGGGTTTGCTAAGAAATTTGGGGATGGTGGTCCCAGTTGTCTTCTTAAGATCTCGAGGAGGTCCACTTCGGGCTCTTGGAATTATGAGGAGTCTTGTCCATGATGGTGGGTAATATTGGCTCTTCTACCTCTTCGTTTTCCTTAACTAAGCTGGCCTGAGGAGATGTTCCAATTGATCCACCTAGGCTTATCTTCTCGTCCCATTTAGGTGGATTGGGTAGGAAGGCCAGTGAAGGAGGTCCAAGCTGGCCCCTCAGAATTTCCAAGAGATCCTCCTCCTCGGGCTCTAGAGGGGATGGAGAAAGAGAGTATGTATTTGGCAAGTTGAATGGGCTTGAGCTTTCATCCCCTGAATTATGTGCCATTATGAGGTCATTACATTTTTCTTTTGGGTTTGTCACTTCCAAGGCCACGGGAATTTCCCATGGGACGATGGTTGGATCTCTGGTGTCTTCTCATATAACAGACTCAGGGCCATGGCTATCCTTGACATAACGATCTTGAGGATTCCTTGCTGTTGGATAAGCTTATGCTCGGTTCGGGCTTCGCTTGATGAATTCTCAGATCAGTATCTTTCTGTGCTCCAAGGCTAAATTGGATGATCCTCAGGCCTGGGTTGGGTTTCCAACGTATTATTAGTCTTGATGTCCTTGTTAGCAGGGTCGGTCTTCTTTTTGGCTTTCAAAACGACGTCATCAATTAGATCCTCTATATCAAACTTCAAACAGTTCCTGTTTTGAACGTTTTAAAGGTCAAACCCCACACAAGTTAATAAGAATTTCTTTATCCCAAGAGCATAAAAGGATAATTTTTGAGAATCTGCCATCCTTGTATTTGGTTGTGATATGTAGTAAATTGTAACTTTTATCTAGTTAGCCAACCAATTGAAGAACAGGACATCTGGGTGGCATGGTTATATCAATACATGGCACCCAGGAGAACTTCTGCCTTACTTCTCAGGATTAGCTTTAAGGATTCCACCAAGAAGATTCAACTTCTATAGTCTCTTATCAGGAACTTTGTTATGGATGAAATACTCTTGAACTGTATACCTCACAACCGGGTCCTCAATGCCTTCAATGGCCAGCAAAACGTTCCTAGATTCCTATCATCTATTTAAAAGGTGCAGTTTGCATACGGACGCATCCGTAGGTGTAGAGGTAAGGTGCACCTTCAAATGCTATCATGGTATATAATTTTGATGTAAGATGTTCTTAGGATTATCTCAAAATTTATTTTTATATCTAATTTTAAAATTTGAAATTTAAAAAATGGTTAAAATCAAGTAGATCTATAAACATATGAAAATCTTGAAAATGGGCGGTGTAGATAATATGTTGTAAAATGCACTATTTGTGAGACTTAAAATCTTTTTATTTTTCATAGTCATACATCTCGATGTCGAGATGATCAATCAAAGGGTTTTTAACATTAAAACTACCTTTTCCAATGGATTTGAGGGGCATCTGTAGTTCTACATTATAAGGTAGCATCCTTATATAAACTCTTTCCCTATTTAAATCCTATATTCCTATCATCTATTCAATTTTCTTTTTAATTGACACATCGGACATCTTAAGAAAATTTTTAGTCCTGGGCTCTACTCTACTGAGGCTCCCCCCAAAATTAATCCTATCATCCACAAGCCTTAGATGTGGGGTTATTTGACATGCCTTTCTCCAAAAACAAACCCTCCTCTATCCGATCACCCCCTTCCAGAGAATCAGGTTTGGGTATGGTTTGTGATTTTGTGCTTTTATTTCCTAGAAAATTGTTCCAAATGGTTGGCTAGCTTGTATTTGTTGTGGAGGCATTACTGGTGATTATCTTTTCTTGCTCATGATATTACGTTAGCGATCGACACTTTCGACAGTCTTGATCTTATCAACCTTATTCTTTTATGCATGGAGTTATATATTAATTTCGTTATCCAAATTTCAAAAAAAAAAAAAAGGATTTTTGGGTTCCTTCAAAACCTAGTTGCTCTCTGACGGATGACTGAGTGCTTTTCGTGTCTATAAATTGTTCCAAATGGTTGGCTAGCTTATATTTGTTTTGGAGGCTTTGATAGTCCTTATCTTTTCTCATATGATCTTATTTTGGTGATCCTTTACAGCGTTGTTCGTATCCACCTTATTCTTTTGTGCACTGAGTTATGTATTAATACCTTTACTGTGTCTCAAATTATTTCGGGGGCCCTTGTTTCTGATAGACTACCAGGTCTACACTTGTTATGCACAAGGAAATTTTAAATAAATTATTCTGTTTTCAACTTCTCCATTACTCAATGTGGATTTTTTCATAAATTTGATAAATTTGAGAATGCTAACCTACTCTATTTACTACTGCAGATCCTTATGTCGACATGATTATGGCTGATGGCATCTCCTTGCTTTGCAATGACTTGCAGGTGCTTATGATTTTCAAATTGTATTTACATTTGTTTGGTTGATTAAGGGATAATACAAATGAGGATTTGGGTCTCGTAGATTTGTTTCTCTGAAGATTTGGTCTCGTGGGTTTTCCCATTATATGACCTGGTGCATTCGATGTAATTTCATTTGCTGATCAAGTTCACCATGCAGCCTTAAAAAAGGATGCATATGATTAAATCTTGATTGAATTATAAAATAGTTTGTTGGAAAATTAAAACAGTTCGTTGGAAACTAGTGTGTATTCACAGTTTTTATGGATATGTACTCAACCTGTGGTTAGGCTAAACATCTTCTAATAATGTTTGGTAAGAGTCCTCCACGGCATTACTGTTTTGTTGTAATTCGATTTGAGGGGTTAAAAAGAGTCCTCCACAGCATTACTGTTTTGTTGTAATTCGATTTGAAGGGTTAAAAACCTTAGAAATCATTCTCTTTCAAATTGTTCCTGTGGGAAAACATTAGCCCCTGTATCCTTCATAGCTTTTCATTTGGTGTTTTGGATGTGCTATTACCCACAGTTGGTTGCCCTTGTAGGTGTTGGATCTTACTGAATCCTCGTCCCTGCTTGTGCAGTCTCAGAACCTTTAAAATGACACTTATCTTTGGGTATGGTGAGGTTGATAAGCTTTTGTTTTTCAGAGGCCATATCTGCATCAAGATTGCTAGATAGAGCGAGAGGTAGATTATGTAGGAAAGAGTTTTTAGTCATGAGAGCACTAATTTGCATCTACAGATGGAGGAGCAAGGAATACTTGCATAAATGACGACCTGGAGTGTGAGGCATGATTAAAGCTTTACAGCACTAAGCTGTGGCGTACTTTGGGATTTGAGGAGTGACAGATAGTTCATGAATTGAAGTCCTGAATAGCCTGGAGCCCTGGAATCTGCTCCTATGGGGCGGACCAGCAATCATCCACATCTCTCCCTCATTATCTCCCTTCCAAGTTCCAGTGACCTCTCCTCGGAGGCACTCATACAAAAATGTTGCCTCACCTGCAAACTCTAAACGGTCATTCCCATATAAGGCTTCGTTCTCTTTAAGGGCTGTAAGAGAGAGGATTTGACATTTAAGTTGGTTTCTTATATTCTTGGATTAGGCAATAAAGGAATCATGTACCATGTTTAAGGAAATCCTAGACCATGAAAACTTAGAATTATGACACTATGTATGGATTTAAATTTTAGTCTGTGTAAGGTCCTGGCAAGCCCTACCAAAACAGAAGTTTAGTAATCTATCTTGGGTTTATGTTGGGTTTATGATGAAAATAACAGAAATGTCTTTCATAGAAACAATGCAAAAAGGAATGCTGAAATGACTCATGGACATGATATCAGACCTAAAAGACTGCCCTCTGTGTAATATACTTACCTAGCTAAACTAAACATTGTTGATTTTTGTGATTAATGATTATGATAACTTATTGATCATTGAAAGAAAAGTAGGAAAGGTAACGGTCTCAAGGAAGGGGGATTAGGAGGACCAGAGGAGGGTTTGAGGATGTGGGCATAGTGTTGGTAAAGCGGGGGGAGAGGAGGGGCGGAGGGGTTGGAGGATGTGAATGAGGGGTTGGCGGGTAAAGGGCGCATCATGAATAGTACACCTATTGTAACTAAAGTAGTCCTTATGATGGTAACTTGGGCGTCGAAGTGATTGCTCAGCAGGAAACATGTGCATAGTATCTATCAAGAGAGTATGTCGAGTGTGACTATGTAGTTACGTAGTTTCATCACTAGCAAAGAACACGTTGTATGTGGTGTAAAATAATAAATATGGTTCTCCTTTCCTTTGCACCATGTTTATGAAAATGCATTTCAGGCCTTAGAATATTAGAACTAGTGGTTCCTCACTTGAGCAAGGCCTTAAAAAACTCACTGGTGAGGCCCTAAAGATACAATGGAATTATTGATTGATCATGTTTATATTATACATTTCTATACATCTTTTGTGGTTCACCATTTATGAAGACCTACCCCAAGCCATTAAATATTTCTTCTTGTGAAATTTGTTCTGGTGTGATTTCTGAGGACAAAGTCTTTAATAAGAATGGCTCTGAAAATGAGATGTTCATTTTAGTGTTTTATTACACCTCAGTTTTGCAACATATGCTCGTGATGCACCAATTCATCATCATTAATAAAGCCTTTTCCTAGCTAATTGGGGTCGGCTACATGAAGCCTGGTCCACCACTGTGCTCTATTAAGGGCCAACCCTTGGTGAACCCATAAGTCCCCATATCTTTTATCACTACTTCCAACTATGTCTTTTTGGGCCTATTCCTTGCCTTTTTGAGCCTTCCACTTGAACTAACTCGCACCTCCTAACAAGTGTTGTATTGGGTCTGCGCCACACATGGCCATCCCACTTAAGTTTATTTTCTCTAATCTTATCGCCTATTGGTGCCACACCTAAATATTTTCGAATGTATTCATTTTGAATTTTATCCTTTCTTGTCTTGCCACTCCTCCATCTCAACATCTTCATCTCAGGTACACTCATTCTATGGATATGTTGTTTTTTGACCGCGCCCAACATTCCACCCCATAAAGTAAAGCTGGTCTCCCAGCTGTCTTGTAAAACTTTTCCCTTCAGCTTCATTGGTATGCGGTGATCACATAAAACTTCAGTTTCACATCTACACTTCACCCATCCAGCTTGAAATCTATGTGCGACATCTTCCTCAATCTCTCTATTTTTCTGGATTATCGGCCCAATATATCAAAAGTTCGCTCTTTTTGGTATTTCTTGGCCGTCAATCTTAACTTCTTCCTTGTTTCTACTCCTATTATTACTAAACTTGTATTCCATAGACTTTGTCTATGTCTGGCTAATTTTAAGACCTTAAGATTCTAGAGTATCCCTCCGAAGTTCTGACTTTGTATTGACGCCGTTTCGGGTCTCCTTAATCAAAACTATGTCATCTGTGAGCAACATGCACCGCAGTACTTCATCTTGTAGGTGCTTAGTTAAGTCATCCATATCTCAGACATATAGGTATGGGTTCAATGCTGACCCCTGATGTACACCTATTGTCATTGAAAACTCACTCGTTTCTCCACTAGTTGGTCGCACACTAGCGAGCGCTCCCTCGTACATATCTCTCACTAAGTTGATTGAGTGTCTAGATACTCATTTCTTTTCCAACATACACCAAATCAAATCTCTATGCACTCTATCATAAGCTTTATCTGGATCAATAAAGACCATGTGGAGGTCTTTTCCCTTCGCCCTAAACTTCTCAATCAGTGGCATAAGTAGGAAAATATCCTCGGTTGTTGACCTCCCTAGCATAAAACCTAATTGGTTTTCTGATACTATCGTTTCATACCTTAGTCATTCACTCTCTTCCACAACTTCATAGTGTGACTCATAAGTTTGATCCTTCGATAGTTTGCACAATCTTGTATGTCTCATTTGTTCTTATAAGTAGGTACCGCAATACTTTTCCTCCATTCGTTTGGCATTTTCTTTGTTTTGAACACCTTGTTGAACAACTCCGGTACAACGTGTCACTTACGGGGAATGCGCTAACATAAGCAGATATCTTATATTCTGGATTCATGAGAAGTTTTGGTAAAGTTTTACGGTGGCTGCCTACCTAATACAACCCATCCTTTTTACCTGGGCTCGTGATGCACCAATTTTGTTCAATGTTTTAGTAGTTGAGCTGAAACTAAGTCTTGTTAGCTTTTGAAAGGCAAGAAACGTTTTTCATGTATGAGTAGTGAATTGAAGGATAAGTCACTAATGCGTTCTTTTGGTTCAATGGTCTTTGGCAGGTGGATCCTGGGGATATTGTAATGGTATGTTCACTTGTTTTAATCTTTTTGACGTTGTTTTGCTTGAACAATATCCATCAATATTCATGGCCTATGAAGACATGCTATGAATTCTAAATCAGTTATGCTTAATGTTTTGAATATGATGGAATTATTATGTCATTTGGCACAAATGTTGAGTAAATTTTTGATAATTGAAACACACGCATGCATGCACACGCATGGACACACACACACGCAAGGGCATGCATGCGCATGCACATACATGGACATGCACACGCACACGCACACGCACACGCACATACCCATGCATACACGCACATGTACACACACGCGCGCACACACACACACACACACTCACATAGACAATCAGAGACAGACAGACACATAAATAGACCCACACACACATGTGCACACACATGCATGCACATAGACATAGAGCACATAGGCATAGATATGTAGAAAAACAATTAAAACATTCATGAGTGAACCTCTCACAGACAGACACAAATACACACACACATAGAGACATACGCACGCGCACACACAGAGATATGTAGAAAACCGCTTAAACACTCATGAGTGAACTTCTATAATATTTCACTTATTGCTCATCACCGTCCAAAATCCATCAGATGGTCACGATTGTTTAATAGTATTTGAGTTTTAAGATTTTTTTTATAAATCCGATTAACCTCAAATTTGTGGGCATGTACTCCTCAATGAGGCTCTCCTAAATAAAATATAAAAAATAATTCAAACCATAAAATGACCATTACCCCTATGAATATTTCAAGGTGTTTTGGTCATTTTATTTTTTGATAATTATATTTTTAATATTTTAGTTTTGAGAAAGCTGGTTAGATGTGCACACGCCCTAAGTTTCAGGTAAATAAGATATATAGAAAAATATTGCAATTCAAAGACTATTGGATAATCATAGCCGTCAGATAGATATGGGATGGTGACGAGCCATGAGTGAAGTACTGTAGGAATTCACTTGTATATATGGCATGAGTTCCCTTCTAAACCACACATTTAGTAAATAGGTTTTTGGAGCTTTCTCACTAGCTTAGGCCATGACTCAAGAGATTCGTGTCTTGATGAAATTAAGTTTTGTATAAAAATATTATATTATGTATTATATTATATGCATTATACTATAATACATTATGGTATATTATCCTATATCATATCATGTTATATTATACGTTATTGGGGAAGAAGACAAAACTCATTGATAAAGTGAAGCTTTTATGATTATTAATATAATAAAACATGAACAAAGCTATGACTGAAGCCAAGCAAATTATATAGTATATAATGGCAATGCGCTCTTGTGGGAGCAAACTACCTATTTGGTCCCTTAGGCAAAAGCCAAGCTTGGAAAATTTTTAAGATTTCAAATTTTTGAAATGTATGACTCAATGACTAACTTTAGAAAAAAAATTGAAATACACACTTTTATATAACATATTCATAGTAGGTTTCTGCACGAAGCTATGGCTGAACCCCAACTTGTTTTCAAGTGCACTGTGCACATGATTCTAAAGCTCACTCCCTTTTTATATATTATCATTATCATCCAAGCCTTATACCAACTATATGAGGCCGGCTTCTCTTTATATATATATTTATAGATATATATACCTTTGGACAACAAGGATAAAGTGGACCTAGCCAGCTGAGTATTGCCAGGTTGAGCTGGATATGGAGGGCTACTGGGCTCTGCCAGGCCTAATTTGCGGCCCCAAATAACAAAGAGGCTGGATCGAGGTCAGGTCACACAGCTGGTCTCGATGGACCATTATTATGTTTGCAACACACCTGGATGGGCCCTAACATGCCCAGCTCCCTTAGGTTTAGTTGTATTATCCTTTCCATTTTTGCTTTGTGAATGCATCGCATATAATGATGAGTGTTGTATCTTAAACATGTACTTATCATGTGTATGCATGCGTACCATGCCTTCCGATCTTTTAAAGACGGTGTGAATACATCACATATAATGATGGCTACTGTATCTTATACATGTACTTTGCATAGATACATGTACTTTGTGTATGCACACCTACCATGCTTCTTGATCTATTAAGGAAGGGGTTATGAGATCTACTATCTCTAATATATGTACCTATCATATTTATCCATCTTCTGATAAATGGGATATGCTTAGTTAAGCGTATCTAAATATTTCTTGATGTCCTTTTTCTTTCAATAAGATGGAAATGAGTCTGACAAGGTTCCTCAAAAATGAATACTACATGCTTTAGGATAAAAATTCACTAAAAGGAAGATGGTGCAGGTATGGCCCTGCCGAGGGGTTGTATGAGGTATGGTCAGTGCAAGGCTGATGTTGGGGGAGTTTTTCGATGCAATGTTCGCAAAATCGAACCGGAACGGTTAACCGGGTTTGGGGCTGAGAGCGGTTTGAACCGGAACCAGACTAACCAGGGCGGTTAACCGTTTTAACGGGTCAAGTAGTTTTTTTTTATTTAAAAAAGGTAAAAAACGTCTAAAAAAATTTAAAAAAATTGAAAAAAAATAGAAAAACTTAGATTAAGTGTATACTATTATATTACATACATTTATCTTACAAAAAAAATTGAAAGAACTTTTTATATAAATTAATATTTGAATACTATGAAGATATGCAAGACAATTTAGAATTTGTCATTAATTCAATTAATGAAGTTACAAAGTCCAACTAACAATGCTAGTAGTAATGAGAGCGGCGAGGGGGATCATGATATTGTTGTATTTCAATATCAGGATTTACGGGGTGAAAAATCTGAGTAAGGCTTGGTGGAGTCTGTAATGCCGCAGTTGTGCCCTCTCGCCAGTCAGGAATATTTCTTGTGGTACCCTCTTGGCCAAAGTCTCCTAGACTCGTCCAGCCTTCATACTCTCCCCCACCTTGTTATGTGTTACCTCCACCCTGTTCTGTGTTACCTCCACCCTGTTCTGTGTTACTCGCACCCTGTTCTGTGTTACCTCCACTCTGTTCTGTGTTATGGCCCTCAACATCTTCAATATTGTCATCATCATGAATAACCAGGTTACGGTGACGGCTACAGCTTCGTCTCTCCCTTGTTGAGTAACTGCTATGCCTCAATGCCTGGACTTCCTCCCGAGCCAATCTCATTGACTTCCTCCCGAGCCAATCTCATTACATCTTCCTGTTCATCAGGCACCGCCTCATGTTGCCCCCCTTCACATTCCTGGATGGCTGGTTCTTGCCAATTGTTTTCCATTGTCCCATCTGTTTCATCATCATGTGCCTCATCTTTTCCTGTGTATAATCGTCATCCATGTCCATTGTCATGTCTCCTTCATTGGATGCTGCAACATTCACATTATCATTCATATCGGCAATTGCCCCACTAAGAAAATGTTGGTCTAATAGTGGGGTCCTTAGTGACACCCACTGATCGACGAGGTCCCTCCGGAAGATGTAATCAAGGTTGATCGGCGTGTAGTTTATGGGGGTCCTCCTTATATGTTTCTCTCTCAATTTCCAATTATAATGAATGTACACCAAGTTGTGCAGCGTCTGTGTCTTTAACCTATTATGCCTCGGGGCGTGTATCCACTGAAATGTACTCCAGTTTCTTTCACAGCTCGAGGCAACACATGTTTGACTCAAAATTCTAACGACAATCTTTTACAATTGCTTTGTTCGAATTCCGTGTATCGTCGACCATTGTGCTGACACAGACAAACATAGAAATACTTAACAATAGAAAATAAATTGATTTAAAAAAAACCACAAATAGTAGTGTACTAAACTATTGCAAGTTTTAACTTAAAACTAACTTGGGTGCAATTTTGCAACTGTTTTTGGCATTGTTATATGCAAATTCCCCATTTTTTTCCATGTACATGATAAGCTAGAAATAAAAAGATGCATATACAAGAAATTAGTACCACATAGAAATGCAATTCATTATTACAAATTGAAATTTTATTACATACACGTTTTGATTAAGGTTTACTTGTTGCATACACTCCATCTGAGTTTCAAGATCAAGTTCAAGCCTGTAGATGCAGTTTCTTACCCCCTCCATGATATCTGCATCATCTAAAGTGGCATTGGAGTACAAATTTTGTGGATTAAGAAAGAACCCTGCACATGGTTTGTCATATTAGTAATTACGGTAACTTTTTTCGAAGTTTAGAAAGAGTCATGAGTTGCGACAGTGAATCATAAATTACCTGCTGCATGGATATTCTGGTGCAGTTGGTCTCTCCACCTACGATCAACAATCTCCAATATCTCTTTATTCCATATGTTATTCTCAAATATAGCTTCCCTTGCACGTCTCATTGCATCGAACAGAAACCCCATTGCGGGTTTATCATTAGAGTCACTTAACCTCAACACCTGTACTAAAGATTCAGTTATAGAAACAACATGGTTACATCGAGTCCAGAACCCCCGATCGAGAAAGGTGGTTTCAACCTGCCTTCCAAGTTGACTCATTGCTGCTCTATCAGTTTGCCATTCATTAGAGCGCATCATTGACCTCAATCCTGCCTTGTTTACCAATATCGATTGTATCGTAAGGAACGCTGTAGCGAATCTAGTAGTGGACTCCCTGACTCTCTCGCATGCAATGCTCCTTCATCAAAACGTGAAGATACGTGTGATTGTATATAAACTTTGTAATCAACTTGCTCTTCAAAATACAATATTTAACCCTCTTCAGCTTCCCTATTTCCTTGAGCATCGAATTAATACAATGGGCAGCACAAGGAGTCCAATAAAGATTGGGCCTTCTCTCCATTAGCATCAAGCCTGCTTTTCTGTAATTAGCAGCATTATTAGTCACTACTTGGACTACATTTTCAGGTCCAACCTCATCTTCAATTTTGTCTAGGCGTGCGCATATCAGTCTCCCAGTATGTCTCCTTCTTGATAAATCAATGCTAGAGTGGTAAACAATGCCCCTAAGGCAACCTATTAAAAAATTGACAAGATACCTATGGGACTTGTCCTTCCAACCGTCGGTCATGATGGTCACTTCTGTACCTGGCCAGTAGACCTTGAACTATGAAATATGCTTATCAACATCATGAACAACTTCTAAACTTGGCCCTACAAGCTCTTTTGCAGTTGGACCTCTAACACCTGGCCCTACCTCAGCTATAGAGCTACCATTTGTGGGTAGAAGTCTGAGCTTGCAGAATTAAATGGCAGTGTATTAGCATACCAGAACATGCTAATCATCTTTCTCGCTTTTTCTATTAATACACCTGTTGACGAAAATTTTAATTTTTTTTGATGATATTGTGACTTGTGGGGATCAAGTCAAGAGGGTTCGCGGGTCATTGATGGCACATCTATGGGTTCATGCCGTTGAGTAGTAGATGACCGACTATAAGAGGATGGGCGACTAGAGAAACTACGTCTCAATCTACTAGATGTGGATCTAAGCAATGAATGCCCACATCCTCCCCTACCCGATACTACACGTTCTTGAGGTTGACGGCTACTGGATGCACCATCCCTTCTCCCATACATCTCTTGAATTTTCATTTGTCTATAATTAAGCTTTTGAATACTGGCAATCCTAGCTCGTTCTATTTGCATATCAAATTCTGCCTCTTGGTCATCTTCCTCATCTATTGGACTTTCGTACCCCCGCCCTATCTCTTCTGCATCCCTTTCTCTCTGCACTTTTTTTTCTTTTCCTCCTGTAATTATTTTTGTCGTTTGTTGTTTTACTTTTGGTGGCTCTTTTTTACAACCGGTGACATTACCCTTTACCCAAGCAAGATGTTCTTTTAGGTGATAAATACCACCACCCATTTCCTTGTTACAAACATTACATCGAACTCTTCCTTTGTTATTCACTTTTGTACCATACTGCCATGTCACATCTCCCCTTCTCATCTTATCATTTTCTTGTAATTTTCCTGAACATAAAAGTTTATTAAAAAAATATTTATTTGGGAAAATCACTCTACCAAGGGGACCTTGTCAGCATGGATATTTAAACCCTACTTTCTCATGAAAATGAACAAGTTACAATAACATCAAATAGAAAAAAAAATTATAATTAAGATGACCATGAATCACCATGCCATTCAATTAATATTTCTCAATAAAAAACATGCATGTGTGCCTCTAGAACATGAAAGCTGAAAAAGCCATGCATGACAGGAATGCATTAAGAAATGTGGTGAAATATGTTTTCTAGAGGGCTAAGGTCAAGTAAATCCTTCAATGGGGAATATGAACAAAAATAAGTGCTCAAACCTTTTCCAAAGCACATGGTACACCATGAAATTGAATAAGAGCAGCAACCTATTAAACAAGAAGTAATCCATATAAAGATACCTCAATTCCTGATGAGCAGTTTGCATTTCATGTGATAGTGACCCTTGCCATGAATATATATTCATGGTAAAAAGTTTTTCTCAAAAGGTTCTAAATGGATGCATCAGAAGGGAAAAATACATCCACTTTCCAAAAGTGATTTT